ATGGCCACCTCTTTAGAGAGGCTGGAATTCGGAGTACCGATTAACGTGTCGGAGAACGATCAAAGCCTGGCCCATCACTCAGCGGTAGTAGCCATAGCCGCGGGAGTACGGGTGCGATCCTTTGGACGGCTGGCCTTTCTTCCCGCCTTTGCCGTCGCCTTTGAATGCACGGCGCTCATCTGCCGCACACTGGGCCACTCGGGCTCTCTCCGCATCTGCCGCCTTTTCCTCATGCGCTCGGATCCCGGCCTGGAGCTGTGCGTTGAGGCGCTGCCTAAGCCAAAGATCCCACTCTGCAGCCGTGTAACCCAGGTTGGCATCGATGTAGATCGTCTCAGTGAAACACTGAATCCTGTCCACAACTTTGTGCTGCAAGAAGACCTGGATGAAACCAGAGATGCTGTAGGCAACTCCCAACCACATAATGGCTAAGGGGTCATCTTGCTCTGTGCCAATCAGGCCTGCTCTAAGAGCTGCTGGATTACACTCATGCAAGTAAAGCAATCGTGCGACACTCTCGGGCTGCTCGGGGCGGTCCCAGCTTCCTGAGCCGTGGACTCCTGTGCCAAGAGTGCGCTGAGCTTGATTGCGGCCAATGTTAGGGAGAGTCCCATTGATCAACACGTCCTGAGTGCGCAGAAACTCCCGGTCAAAGCCACTGTTGATCGAGGCCAGGGTGTACTCCGCATCGTTGTCGAACCTCTCGACGATGGAGTTGTATCCCTGCTTGCGGGCCAACTTCAACATCTGTTTCGACTACTTCCTCGACCGTCAAACGGGAGCGAGGCTTTCCTGTCGCCGCGGCCGCAGCCGTCTCCTGAAACCACCGGTCCGTCTTGATACGCTTCCGCTGGCTCTGGGCGGTTGCTTTTGCCAAGTGGGCATTGCACCGCAAGCAAACCATCTGTCCAACAAGGTGTTGCGTGCCACAGTGGGGACAGGCACGACGACGGCCACCCGTAGCGGGGGCTGAAGGCGGAAGGATGCGATGTGCCGGCTCCGTTGGCATCTTGTTTGCGGGTCTCGTGGCCCGCTCTGCCGCTGGTGCCGTTGCAGGTGCAGCTGCTTCAGCCTCTTCGTCGTCGCCCATTGCAGTATCCCCATCGTCGGTTGCTGCGGGTGCTTCCTTCGATGATGCTGGAGGAACTGCCTCGTCCACTGCACCGGCTCCTTCATCACCTAGCTCGGGAGTCTCCTCAGGGAGAGCGTCGGTGAAACAAACAAACACAGCCCCTTTACCCCTAAACCCTATACCCTAAACCCGAACAGACAAACAAACACCCAGCCCCTTTATCCCTAAACCCTAAACCCTAAACCCAAACAAACAAACAAACACCCAGCCCCTTTACCCCTTTACCCCTAAACCCTAAACCCAAACAAACAAACACCCAGCCCCTTTACCCCGGATCCTCTGAGACCTGCTTCCATCCGAAGCTCTGGCCGGGAACTAGGGTGACCTGCGGCCGGACTTGAGTTTGGTAATACAACCCTAGGGTTTAGGGTTTAGGGTTTCAAGGCTCCATGAACCCATATAGTAGATACTTAGGCCTTTAAAGTACCTATATAGGGACCCCTTTAAGGCCTAAGTATCTACTATAAAGGTACATGGAGCCTTTGGGCAAGGGCCCTGATAACAAGAATACAGCTCATGGGGTTAAACTAGAAGGGATTCTAGCCCTAATCCTTCTAAACCCTTGTTCCAACTTTCTGGGGTTCGCTGTAAAACGAATACACGTCACTGAGTCTAGGGCTCAACAGTCTTAACATGGAAGCTTTAGGGTTTTGTGTGGATTGAAAGGGAATCTGCGCTTTTATTCTTCGGGGTTGTAGGCCATACTCTTTAAAGCAGGGGTTCCCAGAGTGCCCGCTGTAATTCGCTGCTCAAGCGTCGTACCTCATGAACCCTGAAGCCCAGTACCTACGCAGCCCTAGGTGAACAGGTCAGGTGAACACGATGATATACGCCCATGAGATATCTAGATATCTGCGAGGTATGCCTGCTTTCTCTCTCTCTCTATGTCCCTCTCTTTCTGTCCCTCTCTCTCTCTCTTTCTCTCTATCTCTCTCTCTCTCTCTCTCTTACAGCATGTAAAGCAGACGCCTAAATGTCTTTTACAGCATGTAAAGCAGACGCCCAAATGTTAAGCCCTTCGGTTAAGCGACTCGGTTGCATGATACGGCGCAAGGACACTCGGCAGAGTCCTACATGACATACAGCCCTTCAGAACCCCTATGTCAGCACGTCAAGCCCAGTCTATAGATCACTCGCACCAGCAGTGGTCGTCGCCGTGGCAGTGGCACTATCACACGCCCCCAACCCTGAGCCTAATCCATTCACTCGTAAACTCCTCAACCCTGAACTCAACAGCTTACAGCCTAAAGTCTTAAACCCTAAGCCTAAACCCTAATTCTTCTATGTGCAATCCACAAGCCATACTCCCAGCACCATAGGACTTAGAAACCATGCTCTACATGCCGCTATACCTACCCTAAACTGACTGAGTTACCCTATGAACCACAGATTACCTACTTCAATGTCCTCCTGGCCCAGCAGCTCGGATCCTGCATCCCGAAACCCCAACACCTGAACCCAAACCCCGAAACCCAGAAGCTCAAAAGCAATTCGCAGGTCCTAAAGTCCTAGCCCCTTACACTAAACCTCCTAGTCCTACTCCCTGAACCCCTACATCCGACCCTAAACCCTACACCCTGAGCCCCAAACCCTGAACCCTAAAACCCTAAACCCAAGCCCTAAAACCCTAAAGCCCCAAACCCAAAGACCCTGAAGCCCTATAACCCTAAACCGTATCAACCCTAACCCCTAAACCCTAAACCCCTGAACCCTGAAGCCCTATAACCCTAAACCGTATCAACCCTAAACCCCCAAACCCTAAAGCCTAAACAGTATCACCCCTAAACCCCTAAACCCTGAACCCTAAACCCCTAAACCCTAAACCCTTAAAGATCCTAAACGCAATATCAACCC